CTGCTTTGAAGGAGAGTGAAGAATTTAACGCGCGCTTTTAATACAAAAAATAAAGTCGAGATTTACGGATGCTCTTTATACGCCGGATATAAAAATTAAAAGATTTAAAACTTCCCGTTAAACCCGAAATGTTAAACCCAATAATGAAAAAAATTGGGATAACGGGAAAAGCTCGTCATATTTACCTTCCGTTATATCTTCAGGCACGTCGTCGAATTCTATATCATCTTCACCATCGCACTACTCTGATACATAAATAAATAATGATCTTCTGTTTCACCTGTATCGTTAGATATCCTACATTTTTTTAAGTGACTCTTGAATTATGTCGGCTTTAATTTCATTCCATGCTTTATTATTCATTCACATACTATTTCTAGACTGCTACGATGTATTTGGCAAAAGGGTGCGCGGTATATGGCGAATATACCTAAAAATTAAAAAATGTAGTTTGAAAATAGGTGCTTGTTATATGCCGGAAAATATGGTATGTAATATAAGTTTATGAAATAGGAAAAATTAAAAATGATGTGGTAGATTTCATTACAGATTATTTTAAACGTTAATCAATCCTGTTGTTTTTGTGATTAATAAAATAAATACGTGTGATATAATCAGATTAAAGGCATTCCTTTACAATGTTTGCACGGTCATCCATAAACACAAATTCTGCTCTCATGATACTTCTAAATAAACATACATGTTGTTCCAGAATGATGTCCCGATAAATTTGGCCTGTCATGGTTCCGATCTGAACATGCAGCTCTGTTTTGGAGCCCAGTATAGTTCCAGCTCAAACGAGCAATCTTGCCACCACCGTAATGGTGTCGTTCAATAATGATGTTTTGGTGTTAGCGGGGATCTGGAGTTCTCCATATGAAAGTCTGACTTGAATCAAACTGCAGGACTGCAACTTAATCAATCTTAACAATCAGCAATTAGACTGCAACTTTAATCTGAAAACATCATTCAAGGTCACTGTGACGATATCCGCATTGCATGTTCTCTACTCCAGGCTAACCGCTGGCGACAGTGAGTTGCTGTAAGCGGAACACATCTGACAGGCCTGCGAGCTTATAGACCAATCTGTCCCAAATGCCTATACACGGTTTGCCTTGAAACTGTAGTAACTGGCTGAAGAGAGCTGACGAGACAGATCTGATGTTGTGCTCTGTCTGCTTCTTTTGGCAGTCACTGCCAAATACCGGTCGTCATCCGGCATTGTAATTCCGGGGGGGGGGCGACCTGTACTGTAACGTCTACTGACATTTCCATCTTTGGAATCGTTGTCTAAGCCTAGAGATGACACTCCAAGGAACTTGGAATAGCCTAAGCCATACTTTCCATGTGAGTGCGCGCACATTCCAAGAAGCCCATAATTCTATCGCCTAACAAATAATCCACATTCGTCTCTGTGTCATAAGTATTCGGTTTCGCACTGAGCGGCTTGCAGAACGCTTGTGAATAATTCTTCTTCTTTGCTATCATTCCTTACAGACACTTCTTTTACACTTTCGTCATGGTGACGTATTATCGGCGTCATCTGACGGCTTCCTGTAATTTGCCCATTATTCTTGAAGACATGTGCGATAATTCTACAGGTGAAATTTTTACTTTGGAGTTCGATTTCCATGTGATTCTGAATTATCCTTAATTTATGGGCATGAGCGCATTTCGGTTTTTCTCCTCTGACATCCTACCAATAGCCGATAGGCTAAAGCTACGAAATTGATTAGTGTTTCTTGAGAAATACATCCCGTCGCTAATTTAACTAATACATCCCGTCGCAAATTATAACTCGCCTTGCTTCCTTTCCATTCAATGACAGAACTGCTTCATAGAATTTCATTAGCTGTTTCCATTTGGAATGTAAGTAACGCTCCCTTCAAAATGTTTTCCATGAAGGCGTTCCTTTTCTTAGATAGCTAACCATAATGTGCGTACTTATAATGAAATAAATCTGTTCAATCGAATTACATGTGACAGGGTTTTCACCTTGTATACTTTTGATTTCGTCATGTTTTAGATACATTCGAAAGCTTTTGAATTTGCGTGTAATCGTGCTTTTATGTGATGATAAAAAAGCATTAAAAATATGTGATTTAAAGACATTCATGTTTGTATTGTGCGCGTGACCGCGGAGTTTGTTCAGAATTACATTGCATAACTCAGCATTGGCGGTTAAAATTCATTTGTATTATTTTTTCAGCCATCACTTGTTCGTAATATTGACGTCATTGGGACGGTTGTGGAGAAATATGCTCTAGGAGGAAGTTTATTTAGTGTTGGTTGTCAGTGTCATTTCGAAGTAGTATTCTCTTGTCATCACTTTGGCGTAAAATAATCAGATTTGTCTTTTGCTTAATTTAAGGATATTCGGGGGGGGGAGGAACTATTTAATACTAAAAGAATTATATAAGTGTAATGCTTATTATGTGAAATTTAAACTGAAAATTATACTTTTCATAGTATATGTGTACTAAATAACTTTCACAAAGTAAAGTAGGCAACGAAAAACTTAAAATAATGAAGAGAAGCAATATTTTAACAAGTGTGAGCTGGGATTGTGTTTGTCATACCTCTTTCCCACCAGATGGCTCTCTGTGCTTTTCAGAAATACCAGTCATAGTGGTACTGGTAATATTTACACAAAACGCATGCCCTGAAACAAAAAGTAGCTTATTAAATTTAGTATTTTCGATATAAGAAATTCTGTCTTATTTTTATGTGATGGAAAATTAGGATTAAAAAATTTGTAGAATCATTAAGCAGGAGACGGGAAAAATGTGCAGTGCCCTTGCCGGGACTCGAACCCTAGATGTTTTGGATACGCTTCGAGTATACTTCCAATTATACCACAAAAACATGCAAAAACGAAAGAGAAAATACCTTATATACTCCCCCTTTTAAGTGGCGACTGGGGATTAGGGCACCCAGTCGCCAGATCCTAGTGGTGGCGAATTATCGTCCACCACCTTTTTATTTCGTGCGCCGCTTGTAAAGACATTAGTTTTTTTTGGGGGGGGGGAAGGAAGAGACGGGAAAAATTTTTAATGTCCTCTCCAGAACTTCAACCCTGGACCTCTCGATTACGCGTAGAGTTCGCTTCCAATTACACCACGAAGGCATACAGAAACGAGGGAGAAAATACTTTTGAGTTGGAGGACAGTCTTCATCCTTAACGGGAGCCCTTCGTGGTGATGTTAAGGAGCCTCGTCCTTAACATCACCACATTGCCAAAGGAGGGTTTATTTGGAATGTTTTCTCCTTCAAAATTTTTTACGTGTCTGATTTTTTTTTTTTGGGGGGGGGTTATTATTTGTCTCCGATTTACTTAAAAAATTAATTGTGTTCCTACCTTCACATACAAAGCATTTTTATGCGCGTTCATAAAATTAAATAAATCTAAGTTTCAATAAATAAAGATAAATTTGAGCTTTAAATATGAAAGGAAATGTGTATTACATTTGGACTTATTGTTCTCATTCATAAGATTTCTTCGTGAAATTTTAATTCCTCAATTTTTACAAATAATCCATTCAAAATGAAATATAAAGTTAGATGTGTTAAAAATACATTTAATTGAATATTTTTCTGTTTGTTTTACTTTATGTGTTTATCGAGTGTAAGCGCATGCGTGTTGAGTAAATATTATCAACTTGACTGTAGTTGATTGAAGTTTAGTTAAAGTAAGATATATCATTATATGATATAAATGATTATTGAAATTTCGGAAAAACAGAGTAATAAATAATTGAAATTTTGATAAAAACAGAGTAACAAAATAATCCTCTTTGAATTATAAATAACTGATATATAATATTAACCTTTAGTGAAAGAAATAAAAAAAACTTGATTTTTTGAGAAATCTTCCATGTTTATTGTTTGGATGCCATCTTAGAAAGCAATCCTATGCTGGGAAGAACGTTTTTAGGGGGAGCAGGTGATTTAAATGTATTCTTTCAAATAATTCAATCATTTCTTGTAAATGTCATTTCCATGAAAAAATATGTATAGAATATGTGTGAACTTAAGCACAGCCATCATATGAACTGCTCATGACGAACCTTCTTCACTGCTGTATTTCCGAGATTTTTAATTATTTGCATGCCAAATTAAGTTACAGGTTTAGCAGTTTCTCTTTTCTCTCTCTCTCTCTCCGTGTTGTGAACAGGAAAAATAGGACTTCCATAAGGGGAAAATAGTCTTTGTACCTGATTACAGTCTAAGTCGATAAGTGGAAACTGAAGAAATAAAAAGAAATTTCGAAAATCAAAAATTTGACGCATGAAAAAACGTATCGAAATTCTTATGTGTTAAATTCCACTTGCCGTGCATTTTTGTTTTCTTTTTTTGAAAAATTTTCACATTCATTTTCACTTATGGATTCATCTGTACATATTCATAAATGTGATATGCAGAACGTCAAGTAATTTTTAAAAAAAATTTTAATTGAATTATTATTCTTTCTGCGGCTAATACACGTAGGAAACTTAAATCAAAAATACTTGCAGATGTCTATTTGTATTAACTGATAATATATATTTTTTGCTGAAGATAAATTATTTTAAAAATCAGTTACTTTTTAAAATCTATTGTTATATAAATACTAAAATAAATTATTACGTAAAAATCTGAAAAAAAATTAAATTTAATAAATGTTCGTATTGGGCGAATATTCACGGCAAAACTGTTAATCTGCTCTTGCATAAGGAATTTACTATTAAAACATAAATTCTGTTTACTGTCTGTGATTTTAATGTGCATGTGTATCTCCAAGGAAAGTCGAATCATACTTGCGTGAAACACCAGACTTTCTCTTTTTCTTCCTTTACGCCTGATTTTTCGTTGTGTTAACCAGTGCGCGAAAAGAACGTACCTGCAGTCCCGCATACTGAGTCTGCAACGCGTGTAGTTCCTCGATTCGTTAGTTCCTGAGGAAATTCTTATTGCATCATATTTGATCCAGCGCCAAACAGGATCCTGACGTTTTCTGCCATTATGGTCTGAGTAGTTTCGTTAGAGAAACATTTTTCATTGCTTTCCTGGCAACAGAGCGGAAGAAAATGCCATAGCGTAATTGTCTTCTCTATTTTCAGTGCAGCCTTAACTCTTTCACGTGATGTCTTTCATCATAACGGTAGTATTCTTTATTGAAGGATTCGGATGTATTTATTTATTATACGCTTAATGAATATACATAGGATTGTGCACTTTAAATTTTTGTCTCTAATTTTGAATATACTGTATCCCAAAAGCGGTATTTTAATGTTCAGTCTATTATTTATTAACAATCAAAGCATAACCGTGTTATTCATCGAAGAATCAAGAGTAATATCATTTTTAAGTTCAAATAAGATATTTTCATTGCAGTTTCTTTGATGTATACTAAAGAACAATGCACACTTTTTTTTGAGCTAGGATACGTGTTCACTTTTCATCATCTGTAAGCTATTTAAAGCATAAAATTATTCTACGTGAACGCAACAGCCGACGAATGAATTTCAGTTTTAATTTTGGATTAACAACTGTGCCAGAAAACTTTTTACATTTAGATAGAACATTTGGATGAAGACTTTTAATATTTGGTTAGAACATTTGACAATGAAGACTCAATATTTGGTAGAAGAAAAGTCTGGAAAATACATGGCGCTTCTGCTACAGTTTGCTATGCCATGCATTGAAGAAACTATAGTTATCATTACGTAAAAAGCACGAATCTGCAATAACACCAAAAATATCGAAGCATAAGAAAAAGAAGAAAGGGGAATAATCATGACGCCTAACTACATTACTAATTGTGTTAGCTTTAAATGACCAAATATCCAATTAATAAACTTCAAAAACTATCTTTTATAAGTTTAATTGATTAATGCTTTTACATTATAAAGTAAGAGAATTATATTTATAAACTTGAATGATATCTGATTTGACATTTTTATTGCTTAAATTACGAGCAGGCGTTTTGACAGTGGTTGTGAAAAGTAGTGGGTTTCACTATCGCATTGTCATATATTGTATACGTACGCGCACCGCGAACCTCGTTGGCAGTTTGCCAACATGTCTAAATTGTCACTAAACATGTCGGTACTTAATGTATTAACGCAATCACCGTAGTAGAGGTCGCCAAATTTTCAGAACGTGCCAAACTCTGGCAACCATGTTTGTAATAATCCTTTTTCTCCTGTATTCTAAGTTCCAACAGTTTTTTTAACCATGACATTTTTTGCCGTAAACTTAGTTTTCAACATGAACTTGTGAAATTTGCCAACAACGGAAGTATTTGAGATAAAATTTCTGCAAAATTCTGCGCAAATACGGAATTTTGCTGAAAATTTTCTGAAGGGAACAACGAAGAGAGATATATTTCCTACACAGCCGCTGTTGCCGAGGTTTGCGCAAAGCCAAGTCTCCGTTATTCTGTGATTTTTTTTAAGCGAAAACAAATCGCGCTGTGTTTTTCGGAAGAAGAATGACGGGGGGGGGGATGCAGAAAGAATTTGAATAAGAATGTAAGTGTTTTATTTTTTTAATATACCATGTAATCCTTATAATAATTCAAATTTGTATTTTAAAATGCTAAAGTATGTTTTCTTTTCACATGCTGATTATATTTACCGACTTACTATTAATATCAGTAGTTTGGGAATCTTTCTAAAAAAAAGTCGCGAAAACTACCAGTTTGCGCCCAATAAGTAACGTCTGTCGTTTCATATGAAAAAACGTCGCCAAACTGCTTCATGCTAGTTGTGTTAATATGTAAACACCGAGATGTCAAAATAGATAAGCTTTTACCTGTATGTCAAGGGACTCAAATTCTTTTAATAGTTAAAAATTGCTTTTATCAGTTTAGTGAAGGCCGAAACTTGATCTTTTTCTGCTTTACAGAATCTTAAATATTGCATAATAAATATAATAGTATAATAGAGCTACGTAACATAAATACGCCACAGAATCATTTTACATAATATACATAATTCAACATATATACATTATATACGAGAGAACAGAAATACTATTCACTTAACAACAATTATAGACAGAAATACTATCGTTTACACGTATTGCTAACCTTTTACATCATTAAAGCACGCACGAAGAAATGCGATATTCCCTTACATTTGAATTTAATGCATATTTTTAGATTTTTTTGGGGGAAAATTATTGCTTTAGCCGATGTGAATTTCTTTATCAGTTTATAGTTTTTGACGAGGAGTTTATTTAGAAGGACTGAATTATAATTTTTATTATTTGTTGCACTACCTGTCCATAAAATATATCAAGTCAACAGAAAAACTAAACACGCTCTAAGTTTCAAGAAAACAAACATTGCATTTGTGTAGAGGAATTAAACGTGGTGAGTTGCAAGAAAACAAACTTTCCATTTGCTTGTCATGCTTAGTAATGAAAACGACTCAAATAAAGAAGGAAAGAAACTTAACTGGCCTTTCATTCCTTACATGACATTCCTAACTGTGGCCGTGCAAACATCAGCAAGGTCTAGAACAATGCAATTACACGTGTCACTAAATTATACGCGATTCGTGACTTAAAGATTTTACTTCAGCTCTGCCAGGATAGGAGGAGCATTTATTTCAATCTTCAGTTCTGCTATTTTTAGTTTCTTGATAATTTTATGACGATATCTTGGATGGTGTCCAACCTACCATTTTCTCGTCGAAGCCATATAGTGTTAATGTGTTAAAGCTAAAAGTGAAATGATAGTTTGCCGACTTATGCTCAGTGGACTTCATTTTGCAAGCGATCGTACGGTTTGTATTCTGTTCTGTTTAATTTAGTAGGAGCAGTAATATATGCATTTTTTTTAGAAAAGGTTAGCGATTTATTTTCTCACTGTTAGAATGAAGCACTTTTCTGGTTTTGATATCATTGTTTATTTTAATTATTTCATCATCGTGTATTCGGCTTCCCAGCAGAATCCCATTTATACCCATTTTTAACGACGTGGAACCGTTTTTCATAAGCCATTTTCAAACTGGTTTCTCTCTTTCTCTCTCTTTAAATGATTCTTTATGTACGCATCATTTTCGACTATAGTGTTATTTCTGAATACATTTGGCATCAAACATCACAATGCCTCTTTTGAAATTTTAGTTTCTTTTAAATCACCCGAGGGATATGTAATATGCTTCCTTGAAAAGGCAAAAATTATTATAATTTTCATTTTCAGCTTGTGTGCTCATGTCCCGTAAATTAAATAAGAAAAATGCGCCAAAAATTAATAATACTCTTCTTTAAATGCTCGAGTATTTATAGAAATGTATAGTTTGCAAGAAACACGAAACAGAAACAAAGTACACAGTAGCTTATAAATAACCGCGTGTTTCAAATTTCAGAATGCTCTTCTAGTATACTGTTAAAATAAATGGTAGTTTTTAGCCATATTTCTCTTCTAGTATACTGGTAAAATAAATGGTAGTTTTTAGCCATATTTCTTCATAGAATGGCAAATGTTTACTTGAAATGTGTTGCAGAATTATTTTCTTAATTTTCTGAAATGTTTCGATCTTCTTTTTTGGTAATTATTTCGCTTTCAGGGAATATTTTTAACATAAATCAGTTTTAGATTAATGTAATTTTTCACTGAACGTAGGCACGGAAAGCTATGTGTTGGACAAAGATTTCAATGTGGTATTTTTAATGCTGTGTATAGAGATCACTTATTGCATTATGCAATATGAGGTTAATTGTAAATGATGAGAGTAAAATAAAAGATGACTAAAATAATAGATGAGTGGTTTCAGACTTGTGATTCAATATTATTTTTCTGTAAGCCTGATTTCTGATAGGCCAATTAAATAGAGTTTTACTGTACCGAAGCAATTTGTTAAATCTTGACTATTTTCTAATAATGTGGAAGTGTTCTAAAAAAATGATGAAGACAATTTATCGATTGAAGAATTGTTTTATGTAAGGGAAAAGTAAATAGAATTTTTATTTAATGAGCTACCAGCTGATTCTTTGTCAATTTAAGTTACTGGAAAAGCTTACATTTTGAAATTTTTATTATATTCTTCAGAAGTTTTTCTGTGTGGAGTTGGATTAAGGCCAGTGCTAAGAGATGCCAGATCGTTTCGAATGTTGCGGTAAAGAACACTATTTCTTATTTTCTTAGAAATGCATTCAAATTATTTCTTTCATTGATTTTGTTTGTTGTAGTTGGTTATGACAAAGCATATAAGGTCTGTCATGTATTAGAAAGTGGGTTCGAGTTACAAAAATTCGCATGAAGTATGTGTGTTAATTTAGCGTTGATCGGAGTTTCACTGAGAAATTTTCATTTTTTTATCCTCTAGGTATATGATCCCCTAGATGCAGACTGAAAACTAACTTTATTCAAATCGGAATAATAGTCATATTCTCTATATAATGATGAAGTTGTAGAAGTCCTGCAGCACAAAGATGCTTACTATTTTATATATTATTTAATGGGAAATTTAATACTACATACATTGTGCATTGTTTGTTCGGATCGACTAGGGCATATTTTTTAATAGGAATTAAAATGTTATATATTTAAAACAGAATTCTTACCTGATTTTGAAAGAATAAAGTCTGATTTTGAATGAAGGAAATGGCTCAAGATGTGGATGTTCGAGGTGTAGAACTGGTTCGTTAAAGAATGCCTATTTTTACTTTGATAACAGAAATTTTTCGCATTTTATGTTTTGGAATAAATTTTGAATTTTTTTTCCATATTATAATCAGATTATTTGAAATATAAATAGAAAATGTGAAAAGAATAATTTTTTAAAAAGTAAGATAATCTTTTGAGTTTTCTGTTTGTGGTGTGATATTTGTTGGATTGTTGAGCTACTGTTGATGTTTTACTTGAACTTGAGTTTGTTCCATTTTTATCCTGTTTTTAGCAGTGTTTTTTTGTCTCCAAAGTCAGTAATATAACATCTTTTATAACATAATCAAACTGTATTTATTTTGTTTTTATCTCGGCAAGTGTTTTTTTGGCTCTGGCAGACATTTATTAAATGATATGGCAAATAATAAATGCTTATGGCAAAAATTTATAAAATATAAACAACTAATTTTTAAATATGTTGCTTTTATCTCATGCTGTTTCCTTTGTACTTATAAATAAATTTTGGTATATGATGATTAAAT